TTTTTTTTTTTTTTTGGTCTTTTTAGAGACAGGGTCTCCCTGTAGCGCCACTGGCCTGGAACTTGATATGTAGACCAGGCTGGCCTTGAACTCAGAAATCTGCCTGCCTCTGCCTCTGCCTCCTGAGTGCTGGGACTAAAGGTGTGTGCCACCATGCCCGGCTTCTATTTTCTTTTTAAAAGTATCTATCTATATGTCTATCCATCTACCCATCTACCATCCATCCATCCATCCATCCATGCATCCATCCATCCTTCCATCCATCCATCCATCCATCCATCCATCCATCCATCCATCCATAGACAGGGGCTCCCTGTGGCTCTAGCTAGTCACTGCCTTACAGAGCTCTGCCTGCTTCTGCCTCCTAACTAGTGGGATTAAGGTCATGAACCACCACTCCCAGCTCATTTTCTATTTTCTAAATAAAGACCCTGTGCTTCCCACTGGTCTTGACTTCAGAGTTTCTGACTATACTACAGTTAGTATCTTTTCTTGAGTAAGAGTTTTGCTGTATAGCCCAAAATAGCCTTGGACTGTCCATCTTGCCTCAGCTTCCCAATGCCTGAACTATAGGCCTGCATCACCAAGCCATTTTCAGCTACAATTGAGTTTGGGTGTATCTTGGGCATCCTGATATTTGACTGTTGACTGTACTTGATTCTTACTATTTTGTATTTAATTTTATCTTGGCAAAATTCATGTTAAAATCTTTATCCCTAAACTTCAGAAGGTGACCTCATTTGGAACTGAGGTCACTGCAGAGGCAATTTGTTAAAGATGAGATCATACTGGAGCAGTCGGGCCCTAATAGAACATGAGAATATAAATGGGAAATTTGGACACAAGGACATGCACCCAGGGAGAACAGTGTGTCAAAATGAAGGCAGAGTTGAAGGTACTTCTGCCTGCCAAGGAAGGCCCGTGATTATAAGGTGACCATCAGAAGCTAGGGGAAAGGCATGGGCCCAGCTCTTCCTCACAGCTTTCAGAAGGAGCCTACTTGATATTGGACTTTCTACTTTAGAACTCTGAGAGAATTACAAAAAAAAAAAAAAAAAAAAACTTTAAAGATTGGCTCTCACTATGTAGCCTTGGCTGGCCTGGACCTCACCATGTAGATCATGCTAGCCTCGAACTCATAGAGATCTGCCAGGCTCTGCCTCCTGAGTGCTGGAATTAAAAGCATGTACCACCATGCCTGGCTAGAGACAATAAATTTTTCTTGTTTAACACCTCTCCCGGCCTCATTTTGTGGTACTTTGGAATTTTTGTTTTAGTTTTTTCTGTTTTTGTTTTGTTTGGCAGTGCTGAGGGTCAAACTGAGAGCCCTGTCCATTCTAGGTAGGTGCCCTTCCACTGAACTATTCCTTCAGCCCATCTGTGGCACTTAGGACAGCCTTAGCAGTTCATATCTGTTCAGGTAAGAGCAATGAGCTTCATAACACTTCTCCATTCCTGTTGTTGATAGTCATAATCCCCTCTCTCAGACTAGAGAACTTTGTCATCAGTCACCTTTGACTGTACCATCTTCCTCTCCGTTTCACACCACCTCTAAAGTACTGTGTTGACATATCTGTTTCCTATTACCTTGTTCTCTAGGAGGGCCTTAACCATGCTAAGCAAGTGCTCTACCACTGAACTGCATCCTTACTTGGTCTCACCCCCTAGCTCAATTGAGTCACTGTAACTGTCCCTTTTCAGAGGGTCACCAATACTGCCCCCTTCTCTTTAGAACAGGGGGCTGGTCTCTTTGTTCTACCCTCTGGAAAGGAGGAAAAACTTCAGAGTCCAGTTGCTTTGGTCACAGGTAACAAAGCGAACCCTAGCCTAGGAAAGCTCAAAGCACACCTGTTGCTGGCCCAGGTACCTATGTCATTTGTTGTGATCTCTCCAAGTTGACCCCTAAATTTCAGCTTTTTTGTTCATATCCACAGGCTCAGCTACTGTTGTACCAAGGACATACCACAGTGGCTGGAATAGACAAGATTCTGGTCTTGGCAGCATGCTGGTTGAAATAAGCCCTCTCCCCAGAAGTATAGACTTTTATGTTGAACCCTGGTTCCCAACCCCACTGTCCACTGCTTGGCAATCCACTTTCAGGGGATTCAGTTTAACCCAGAAATGCATTCTGATTTTCAAAGATGGGAGTTTTGTTTCTTCCTGATCAAAGGGCTCTGGACCCCTACGCCCACTGGTTCCATCCTTTCTGGGGCTCCTGGAACCAGGGACTCTAGATGTTCAGTCCTTACAGACTATATGCACAGGATGGTTAGTAGAGTGGCCACAGGAGGAAACATAGGAAAGGCTTGCAGAAGAGTTTATTATACTTACAGATCCTAGACAAGGTGTTACTGTATGCCATGCAGGGTCACAGGAGACAATACCAGGGTGGTGGTGAGGAGGTAGATGAGAATGAGGGGAGAGCCTGGTCCATGATCTTTATTGGGGTTCCTGAGGGAAAGGCAAAGCAGGGCAGGACTGGGCAGGGTAACCAGTATAGAACCAGCTGGGATAATTTTCGTGGGCTCTAAATTAGAGGCTTGGTCGCTTACCAGGCACCAGTCCCTGGGATAATGAAGGCAGATGGAGGGAGGACAAAGATGGCTGCAAGTGGTTATTCTGCATATCAAATGTGTGCTCAGTGGGGGCTCTTTGCTACTAAGATGGCTAGCCTGGAGAGGGGCAGTCTCACTTCTAGAAAGAATTTTTAAATTATTTTTATTTTATGTGTATTAGTGTATTGTCTGCGTGTGTAAGTGCACCTGTGTCATGCAATGCCTGTGGAGGTCAGAAGAGGGCGTTGGAACCCCTGAAACTGGTGTTATGGATGGTTGCTACCACTATGTGGGTACTGGGAATTGAACCCAGGTCCCCTGTAAGAGCAGCCAGAGCTCTTAACAGCTGAGCCATCTCTCCAGCCCCTTTTAGAATTTTAAAGATGTCAAAATATCACAGTTCTCACAAAGTAAAAAAAATGTATCGTGTAACAAAACTTTCCCTTTCCCAGAAAAAAACTGTGCTTCAGTACTTACATAGAAAAATAATTCTGTTAAGTGATTTTGAAGACTATAGAAAGTCTACTACTAGATTGTATCTCTGCCTTATTCAGAGAAACAGCTTCTGTGGTTTTAAAAAAAGGAAAAGGCAGGGCTGGAGAGTTGGCTCAGTGGTTAGGAGCACTGGCTGCTCTTGCAGAGGACCTAGTTCAATTCCAGCACCCACATGGCAGCTAATAGCTGTCCATAGCTCCAGTTCCATGGGATCTGACTCCATCTTCAGGTTTCTCTGGGTATTACACAACATGGGTGCACTTATATATATATGCAGGGAAAACACTCATCAACATAAAATAAAAAAACTTTAAAAGGGAAAGGCAGAGCTGGGCGTGGTGGTGCATAACTTTTAATCCCAGCACTCAGGAGGCAGGCACAGGTAGGTCTCTGTAAGATCAAGGCCAGCCTGGTCTATATAATGAGTTCCAAACCACCTGGGGCTACGGGGAGACCCTGTCTCAAAAAAGACCAAAATAAAATAAAATAAAAGGGGAAAGGCAGAAGCGCTGTGCTTCCGGTCCCTGCACTGTGAACACTTCCTGCCTGTCCTCTTAGCTTCTAGTCAGCTCCAGGCCGTTGCACCTCTGCTGCCTGCTTGACCATTCCTCACCGGTGTCAGGACTTCTGCTCTCTAAGGGTCAACCAGGACCTCTCTATTTGCTCTCTTACTTTTCCAAGCACTGGCTCTTTCCCTGGCATAGGCAGTCTTTGGGGCAGGAGCCATGCCTTTGTCCATTCTTCACACTTAGCATTCCATCACAACTGGTGAACAAATGGTGTAACAGAGAATCAAATACCATTTTGCAGAAAATGGTGCTCTAATTCCTGGAGTTTTCTTATAAGTTAATGTAACATAAAAGATAAGCTGTAACAATTATTTGTTACTTTAATTTTTAAAATATTCTCTTTTTTTTTTTTTTTTTTTTTTTTTTTTTTTTTTTTTTTTTTTTGTCTTTTTGAGACAGGGTCTCCTTGTAGCCCCAGCTGTCCTGGAACTCACTAGGTAGACCAGGCTGGCCTCGAACCCACAAAGATCCACCTGCCTCTGCCTCCAAGTGCTGGAATTAAAGGCATGCGCCACCATGCCCGGCTCTCATATGTTTTTAAACTAGATTTTATTTTTTGTTATTTTGTCTTTTTTTTTTTTTCCCCCTTGGAGCTGAGGACTGAACCCAGGGCTTTGCACTTGCTAGGCAAGTGCTCTGGCACTGAGCTAAATCCCCAACCCCTAGATTTTATTTTTAACAATCACAAAAACCTACAGTTCTTTTACAAATTCTATGAGGGCTCTGTTGAGAGATTTTACATTTAAATTAACTTTAAGAATTTGAATTCTCTACTCAAAACATAAAACTCATGCTATTTTGGATACAGAGTCTCATATAACCCAGGCTGACCTTGAACTTACTATGTAGCTAAGGCTGGCTCTGGCTTTGCTCTCATCTTCCAGCCTCAGCCTCACAAGTGTTGGGATTACAAGTGCTCCACTGTGCCTAGTTGTCAGAATACATTTTTTAAAAGTAACGTGTCAAAGTCAAATGATTTATCAATTGGCTTAATATTCCTTTTCTGTTACCATAAAGATGAATATGCAGTTTTGAGTGCAAATACAAACAGCTCTTTGGTCTCCCCCTTAAACATCTCCCTCTTGGGGAACAGCATCTAGTTCTGTAGGCCAGTGGTACTGTATCCCAGACTGGAAGTCTGTGGGAGACTGAACATTTCTGAGTGCCTTGACTTCCTGTTTAATGGCTCACTTTGAAAGGCAGAAGTAAGAGAATGAGATACCCCTTCCCTAGGTACCTGACAGGAATATTTATACATATGTATCTATCAAGTAATTCAAGAATATGTATGCATATTTCTGAATCAACATGCAATGTATATATAGTTAGTTACATATGAGACAGGAACTCTTAAGATAAATTTAAGCTTTAAATCTCTTTTGCTAACTTTCCTTTAATAACACGTGAAAAAAACCAAACTTTTATTTCAAGATGTAAATTCAAGATTGCTTTTCCAAATCTTCAGCTCCTAATAAGCACTGAGAAGCAATTTGCATCAATTCGCCACCTACTCCTTGGCATCCCCGATTCCTCCAGCAGTTATTGCGAAGGTGGCTTCATTTTCAGGCATCTCGGGACTAACAAAATACAAGGGAACAGAAGTTTATAAAAAGCTCTATTTCTATAAATACTGCACACATGTCACAGGCATCACGTTCCCATCAGTCTAAGTCTTCAGAGACATCACAGCACTGGTACAGCTAAATGCAGACTACAGAATTTACCTACCAGTGTTATTAGGCTTTTGCAAACATTTGTTTAACAACTTCTATATATAAGGTTTTGAATGTCAAGAAAAATTACCCCCAAACTTGGAAATCAGCAAATAGGGATAAACTGGCATTCTTTCAGAGAAGTTTCTGGCCTTTGTAGCAGGTACTGTGTGGCTTGTCTGATTCCTTAGGCATGTATACCTTTCTAGCTATGCTAGCATATGGGAAAACTGTAAAAAACTTTGAAATGAATTGAGAGTCCTGAGCACCTGCTGTGGAAAATCGGTTGTGAGACACACCCTTCCAGTTACCCAGTTCTATGAGGGCTCTCTGCTGTCTGCTGTCTTAGTCTATTTTACAGCTCTCTAAGTTGAGGGTAACTATGAGTGATGCAATTCTTGTCCATAGAAATGTAAATTGTGTAAGGTGGAATACCATTGATTATTGTACTGTGGAAATTAGTCCATTTCTGATCAACTGATGATTCATTTCCACATTCCTTCTTTAACTATGTGTGTGGTATTTTAATTTTTCTTTTTAGTTATAAAATCTTATTGGTCTCTCATTAATTAGTGCTTAAAATCTTTGACGTGGCCAAGACCGCTGGTGCATGCCTTTAATCCCAGAACTTAGGAGGCAGAGGCAGGAGGATCTCTGTGAGTTCAAGAACAGCCTGGTCTACATAACTGAGTTTTAGGCCAACTGGGACTACAGGGAGACCCTGTCTCAAAAAAAAAAAAAAAGTCTTGGACATGGACCATTATTTACCTAATCTCTTGCTTTAGTTGCCTCACCTGTAAATGAGGATAAAAACTTCTACCTCTTGAGGTTATTGTTATAAAGTGTGTGTGTGTGTGTGTGTGTGTGTGTGTGTGTGTGTGTGTACCTGGATCAAGTCCTAGTGCTATCACTTTTCAGCCTTTTCAGCTTCTCCACCATTTTTTTCCCCCTCAAATCAAGAATTCATAGCAAGGAATGCGAATATACTGCATAGCAAGCTAAGTCTTAATATCTTAAGTTCTGATCTAGTTTTGCTGTTTTGATTCAAGATGTTTATTTATTTGCAACATGGTCTCACTCTGTAGCCCACGATGGTCTCACATGAGCAGTAATCCTCCTATCTTAGCCTGTTATGTGAGGGCTAGGGATTTGAACTCAAGGCCTCCTGTTTTCACAGTAAGTACCCTCACTTACTGAGTCTTTTCTCCAATCCTGTGCTTGTCTTTTTGTTTTGTTCACTTCTTTTTCCCAAGAACCTAGAACTGCTAACATGCAATGAGCTTTTCCATAAAAATGTACACTGTAATAAATATATTGTTCTTAAGCAAGTGAAGTATTGTGAGAGAATGTAGGGTATCAAGAGTATTGTATTTAATGTAGACTGGACCGTAAGGATAGGGAAAGGTTCCCTGATCAAGTGATATGGGTAGTGGGATTACAGTCATGAGCCAGCACACCTGGCCTGATTCTAGTTTATGGAAACTTGATATAACTAACCTTGTTGAAAACTTATAGTCACCATTCCTTATTGAATTTCCAAGGCTAAAACAAGGCTAAAACAAGGCTGTAAGAATGGCAGAAGTTGCTTACCCTAAAGATTTGGAGGCCTTGATGAAACACACAAAGGACTGAACAGGTAGCTTAAATTCATTCATTTGCTAATTCAACAAATAGCCTTTGAATGCCTACCATGTGTCAAGTCCCAGCTCATTGCTAGGGATATTCAATGAACCAAATTTAGTCTTTGTCATGAGGGAGATGTAGACACTGGGCAGAGTGAAAACTGTTTTGATTAAATCCTAGGTACAGCACTCTATCCAAGAAATAGATAATGAAATTCCAGTAACAAGATGGGGACTACCTATTTAATTCAACAAAGATTTCAGCAAATTTCTAGAGATGACTGAAGTTCAAAAAGCAGTGTTTATGTACTATGACTTCTACAGGAACAGATAATAGAAACATCTTGTAGACGGGGGAACTGATATTTATTCAACATCAGTACATTCTAAATTCTGTAGATTATAGAAAATCCAGACGAAGAGATCATCTGGTTTTGGGGAGCTATTTTCCCTCCCTAGGAGAGTTACTACAAGTCTTTGCTTTATTGTTTGGGGTTAGTTAATAAGTCACGCACAAATACTTCATTATTGATTATGCCCCAGGCAAGCAAATAGTGTATATACCAAGGGTACTACTGTACAAGCTATGCAAGCATTATATCATTGAACTATATTTATAGTCCTGGTTTTGGAATGGTTTTTTATTTTGTTTTGTTTGAGCTAGGGCCTCATTCTATAGTCCAGATTGGCCTCAAACTTATAGTAATTCTGTCTCAGCTTCCCAAGTGCTAGGATTATAGGACTGAGACAACACACATACCTATTCATTAATTATTTTGAGGCAGGCCTATAATTCTCCTGCCTCAGTTCCCTGAGCTGGGATTATACCTGTGTGCTGCCACACCTGGCTTAAGAAAGTGATGTCTACACTGACACCTAAACAGGAATGATGCTAACCTGGTGGGGGAAAGAATATAGTCCCTTACTGTGCACTTCCCCAGAACCCAACAGGCTTCAATTGAAATAGAAGTGATTTCATCATCCAGCTTTACTATATGCTTTGAAAGGTCAGAGACTGATGTATGCAACCACAGAATCCCCAAATCCCTAGTACCTAGCACACAGAGGGATTTCTTTCTGTGATCGATTACATAAGTTTCAAGAAGGAAATTCAAGCATGTAGAATCTGCTAGGCAATAATTATAACCTTCCAGGAGCAATTCTGTTTAAAATCATGTGCACAAGAATCTGACAAAGAATAAATAAATACTTACCTGTCATAAATCTTGGCAATTCTCAGTTCTCCTCGTCCCTTTCTCAAGCTTATTCGTGTTGTTGACGCATGAGCCAGAATGTGTCCACCAATGGGTTTTTTGGGATCTGCCTGGAAGCTGAATCAATAAAATACCTTTTCCAGCCAGATGTGATGGCACACGTCTTTAATCCCAGCACTCAGGAGGCAGAGACAGACTGATCTCTGTGAGATTGAGGCCAGCAGGGGCTACAGGGAGACTCTGCCTCAACAGGAAAACAAACAAACCTTTACAGGTTTCATGAAATGGGCTATATGAAAACACTGCAATGAAAAAGCACCTTTCTGTGTGGGGTGGCAGGGCATGGAGTGGATGTAGATCTTTTGTGTATCTGCCATGTGGACCACATGAGTCAACCTCAGGTGGTGTTCATTAGGAGCCATCCACCTTGTGTTTGAGACAGGGTCCCCCACTGGAACCTGGCCTGAAACTTCCTATGTAGCCCAGGCTGTCCTCTAACTTGTGATCCTTCTGCCTAAGCTTCTCAAGTGCTGAGAATATACGTGTGAGTCACCAAGCTCAGTTACCTTCTTTTCTCCTATCTTCTACAGTTTGGATCTTAATGTCCCCTAAGTTCTGTGTGTTAAAGCCTTGGTTCTGAGCTGGTAAGATGATCCAGTGGATAAAAGGCTTGCTATGCAAGCCTGAGAACCAACTCCCAAAAAGTTGTCTTCTGACTTCCACATGTGTGTGTTGCGGCACACCTCCATTCCCCACAATAATAAATTTAAAAAAAATTAAAAAGTAAATAGAATAGAGTAGAATAAAGGCTTGGTCCTCAGAGTGGTGTTATTGGAAGGTGGTGAAACCTTCAAGAAGTAGGCCTCTTGGAAGGACTTTAGGCCACTGCAGGTTTGCTCTTGAAAGGACTTGTAGGACTCTGGCCCTTTTCTTTTTATTCTTTTGCCCCCCAGTCACGAGGAGAGCTTCCATTTTTGCTTTGCCAACACATTCCCTGCCATTTTCAACTGGCACCCCCACTAGAGGCCTAAAAGCAAAGGATCTGCCTGATTATGCAGTAGAACCTCCAAAACTGTGAGCCAAAATAAACTTTTTCTCCTTTTAAGTTAATGATCTCAAGTATTTGTTGTATTAATGGACAGCTAAAACAACTACCTACAACCTTATCTAGGGTTATTCTCATTTTTTTCTCCTTCACTCAAATTTCTTTTATATTTTCTTATTCAAGCAAGTCAGTCCTCCTACACCTTGATGCCTTTGCACATACCTTTGCCTCTGAAATGAAAGCCTCTTTCCCTACTGGGTTTACTCATGCAGTTGCCACTCATCCTTCAGGGGACTCCTAGGAACCTGTGCCTCTATGGTCTCCTGTCATGTGCATATTGCTCTATTAAAGAGTACCACTGGCCTTGGTGTGTAGCTCAGTGGAAAAAAGAAAGACACACTTCATTGTTATTTTAAATTCAGAAGGCCTCCTCCTCTGCTAAACTCTCAATCTCTATTCACCTTTTGCATACAGGAGAGGGTTGTGCACTGCGTGGAAGGCCCTCCACTATTACTATGCCATGAACACAGAGAGCACAACTTGGCTCCTCTGGTCTATGTCTTTCAGGACACAGAGTTATGACCTATCTTCAAAGAAACTGTAAACCAGGGAACTTTTAAAAAAGAGTTTTTAGCCAGGCATGGTGGAGCACGCCTGTAGTCCCAGCACTTGGGAGGCAGAGGTAGGCAGATCTCTGTGAGTTCAAGCCCAGCCTGGTCTACATAGTGAGTTCCAGGACAGCTGGGGCTTAAAAAGACCAAAAGAAAAAAAAAAAAAAAGATATTTAACAGAATGGCAAATATAAAAGGTGAAGTAGCTCCCCTTGCTGGCCATTATGGAAAACCTATCCACAAAGGGGAAGGGGATCTTCTAGGTAAACAGCCATGATTTTTTTCTTAGACTTCTTAGCATATTATTGTTTGCTGTTACTAATGTGACATTCTATACACCAGAGAGACTAGGTCCTACTGTTTGCCACTGACTATTTCAGGCAAAGAGTCTGAACACTAACAGTACCATCTCCAAAGGGAGATGAGCTATATGGGGAAATTACTATTTGCAAAAGGGCTATGAAAAAGTTATCAACGGGGCTGGAGAGATGGCTCAGTGGTTAAGAGCACTGACTGCTCCTGCAGAGGACCTGGGTTCGATTCCCAGCACCCACATGGCAGCTAACAACTGTCTATAACTCCAGTTCCAGGAGCTATGATGCCCTCTTCTGACCTCCATGGGCATTGCATGACATGGATGCACCCACCAACATGCAGGCATAACACTCATACACATAAAATAAAAATAATAAAAAATGGGCTGGAGAGATGGCTCAGCAGTTAAGAATACTGACTGTTCTTGCAGAAGACCCAGGTTCAAATCCCAGCACCCATATGGCAGCTAACAACTGTCTGTAATTCCAGTTCCATGAGATCCAGTTCCATGGGACAGTCTCTTCTGTCCTCCATGGGCATTGTACAACACGGGTGCACTTACCTACATGCAGGCAATATACATATACACATAATTGAATAATAATAAGTAAAAAGTGGGAAAAAAGTTATCAACAATGGCTCACAAACTAAGACACTGTGTAATCAAAATAGACTAGGAAATAATAGCCGTAGTTCTGAGAGAATTTTAAGCCAATGCAAATTTTGTTTGTTCTGTCAACAATTCTGTATATAATTGTGTGTAGACTTTATAGCCCTTAACATTTATTATAGGTCATTGTCCTAGTTTGTTCATCATTGCTGTGACAAAACACTCTGACCACTATCAACTTGGGGAGGAAAGGGTTTATTCAGCTTACATCTCCCAGGTCGCAGTTTATCAGGCAGCCCAAGGTAGGAACTCAGGGCAGGGACCTGGTGGCAGGAGCTGGAGCACAGGCCATGGAGGAACACTGCTTACTGGCTTGTTCCCCTGACCCCTGCTCAGCTTGCTTTCTTATGCAACACAGGCCCACCTACCAGGGGTGGCACCACCCACAGTGGGCTGGGCCCTCCCACATCACTCATCAAGAAGATGCCCCTCAGACATGGCCACAGGCCAGTCCAATAGAGGCAATTCCCTGATTGAGGCTCCCTCAACCCAGGTGTGTCAAGTTGACACTAAAGCTATCCAGCACAGTCATCGACACTTTGATAATTTAAAAAAGATATGGATTCTTCTTCAGCAAAATGCATATATGTACACATATAAAAATTTTCATGTAAATTTAGCAGATTCATGAACTTCCCCTCTGACATACAAGAGTATCATTAATAACAACAAATATTTACTATAAGGCAGATATTATTTTTCGTTTTGTTTGGATTCCCTATTTAGTAATAATTATGGATTAAAATTTGGATTCTGATAGAGGCCTACAAACAGGAAGAATATACTCACTGGCCACATGAGCCTCATGAACTTCATATGTAGTTACAGTTTTCATTATTAGACTGCTCCTCTGGTTTTTTCCTGAGCCTCATGAGCTTGATTAATGTAAGCCTCCCCTGAGAGAAGCACTGGGTCTCTGCCCTAGTCACACCTATGTTTAAGGCTGAAGACTCTGAACAGCAAGCATTTCACCAAAATAATAGGTATATCCCAGAAACGCCTCTGAGGTGACAGCATGCCATCCTTTCCTCAGGCAAACACAGCCCTGGTGTGCTGTGTGATATACGAGTACTGGAATTAGACCCGAGTTCAAATTCTCACTTTCCAGTTATGTGACCTTGGGAGAATTGTTTACCCATTCTGTTTTTGATTCTTCATTTTAAATGAGGACTCATACTGGTATCAACTGGTAGGAGAGTTGTATAAATAATATGAAATAATTCAGATGAAGCATTGGCCCAGTGACTACAATTACTAGTATTTATCTGCTTTTCTAGTCTTAACTCAAACACTGTGCTGGCTAGCTTTAGTGTCAACTTGACACACCTGGGTTGAGGGAGCCTCAATTGGGGAATTTCCTTTATTGGACTGGGCTGTGGCCATGTCCATGGGGCATCTTGATTGTTGAGTGATGTGGGAGGGCCCAGTTCACTGTGGGTGGTGCCACTCCTGGCAGGTGGGCCTGTGTTGCGTAAGAAAGCAGGCTGAGCAGGGGCCAGGAGAGCAAGTCAGTAAGCAGTGTTCCTCCATGGCCTGTGCTCCAGCTCCTGCCACCAGGTCCCTGACCTGAGTTCCTACCTTGGGCTCCCTGATAAACTGTGATCTGAGAGATGTAAGCTAAATAAATCCTTTTGCCCCCAAGTTTGTATTGGTCAGAGTATTTTGTCACAGCAATGAAGAAACAAACTGATACATACTTATTACCTATTTACTTTAAGCTAATTATTTTATCTCAATTTCTTTCATGGTAAGTGGCGGGAGATCCAACCTTCTGGATTATTGTGAAGATTCAATATATTTAGAATAGCTGGGCATGGTTTGGCACATGCCTTTAATCCCAGCACTTGGGAGGCAGAGGCAGGTGGGTTTCAGGCCAGCTGGGGTACAGGGAGACCCTGTCTCAAAACAAACAAAATGAAGACATTTAGAATAACTCACTGGGAGCCACCATGTACTAGGAAATATAATTGCTCATTTATGTACATTAGCTTTACCCTGACAGCAAACTTAGCACATACGACATCATCAATAAATGGTAGCTACCCTTATTTACAAAATGATTCAGTTTAAACAGCCATCTTTCGATGAAATGTAGACCAATAAATTCTTCTTAAAGTGTCTTTGTACTTCTTGACTGTTCTAGCAGTTCTAGTCTTGAAGTGATATGCAAGAAGGTGTAATAGCATGCCACGTTCTTCTAGAGAGCTTTAATTTACTTCTATTTCTGACCAAGTAAAGCAGCATCAGAAAGCCACCCACATCCCTCCTATAGCCTATTTTCTCTTTTCCATTTTCTGTTTCTCTCCTTTCCTTTTTTTTTCAGGAGAATGGGGAGTAGAAATAGAAAGGGAGGGTAGATATTAGGAATAAGAACAGACTAAAAGAGACTTTTCCCACTCTGAACGGGATATGTTATAGTCTATCATTTGGCTTTCCCAACTCCAAATTAAGATGCCAAGGTCATGAAGAATAGTTCTGAGATGGAATAGGATGGATGGGAGGAAAACACAGAGAGACTGAGGAGCATCAGCTTTTTATTTTCTTTTATGTGGTCCTGAAGATTGAACCCAGGGCCTTAAGCACGCTAGGCAAACTCTACCACTGAACTATATATCCCTTTGCTCAAGGAGCATCAATTTTGAAATCAAAGATGTACTGGGTCAAATCATGGCCTCCCTAGTTTTTTTGTTGTGTGATTGGGCAAGGAAGAAATACTCTTTAAGTCTTTGTAAATTAAGAACATATATAATACCAAATTCTGCTCAGAGTGTGGACCCTGGAGCATGGACAAGGGCAAGCATGAGGGATGACGGGCACTCCTGATGCTTTTGACTTGTAAGGGGCATGCTTACCCATGGGGTCCATTGAGATAAAGGCTGAATGAAGCAGAATGAGGAGGAGGCTTTAAAATTAAGGGAGCGTGGGGAGAAAAGAGCATTGCCAAAAGAGAAGAATTTTTAAGAAAGAGAAGGGATGGTTTGTTAAAAAGAGTATGTTTAAGAAGTTTTGTTAAATAATGCTTCCCTTCTGTCAGCTCCCAAAATATGAAAAAAAGAAGCATACACTTTTTTTTCCTCATTTTTGAAATTGGAGCTCTTTTTGGGAGGTGGGGTGGGAAGATGTGCAACCACATATTGAGACTGACTTCATAGAAAGCACAGGGAGGCAGACACGGCCTTAGCCACATCAGGGTCACATGAGAATTATATAAGATAATGCATGGTAAATAATCAGTAAATAAAAGTTTTCTTCATTTTGGGGAGGGAGCTGGGGGAATGAGGCTCAAATAGTCTAAACACTGTGCACATGGTCAGCATGCTAGTGACCCTAAACATATTACCTCATTGTTTAAGCTAAAGATGTTGAATTAGCAGTTGACACCTTAATGAATAAACTGTATATTTACAAGATTGCAAATGTCCTGGGATAACTGTTTTAGGATAGCATGCACAATGGAGGTAGATGGCCATGCTATAGTCTTACTTGTTGCTTATTGCCCTGGTGTATAGCTTCCCAGGCCCATGTTTTGACTCTCTAGGATCCATAAGCTTGATAGTTCCAGGTCTAAAGTCTGAGTCTGTAGCCTTGTCTAGGAGCCGCTGCTGTGCTGTATAGTATGTATGGCAGCTCTTTGCCTCTATAATTTTGTTCCTTTTAATACGATGTGCCATCAAGCATAATGCATGGGATATAAGCCTCAATTATTGTCAGTGTTCTTGGGGACTCATACCAATTATAGTGATATTTCTCTGACAGGCTCCAGGCGAGCTGCAGCTTGGAGTTCCTCAACACTAAGAAACAAAGATATTTTTATGGGAGGTTTTCTAATAGCATTTGAAATCCTTTAGTTTAAAACTGTCCCTTTTTTCATTTAGATGTGTTAATTTCTGTGTTTTGCACGAAGACATGTATTTAATCTGTACTGTTATAATTTAATATACTTTAGAACATACTAATTACAGTGAGCCTTGCTTCCTTACAGCTTGGCTAGGTGGAGGAGCTGTTTCACAGCAGACTTACCCAGCAAGAATACTCGCCTTTATTACCTTCACTGGCTTTCTACTTAGCCCTCTTCATTACGTCTCCTCCCTGTGTTGATTCCCTCTTCAATTATTTCCTTCTGTCACCTCTCACCTCTTCCTTTCATTGTCTTATGGGAGTAAATTCAAGATGGTTTTACTCTTTTTGAAACTTTTTACAAATATAAGAAAAAGGAACCCCTATCTGACCTAATGTCCACTGATTTCTTTTGCCTTGTAGCTAGAGCAACAGTCTCGGCCTTTTCAGTGTTCCCTCCCCACACCTGAAGAAAGAACACTACTCTTTAACTTGTACTGTTTTATCTGAACACATCCCACTTCCTCCCTCTGAGCCAATGAGTCATTTTCTCTTTTTAAAGCAAGTCTTAAAAATCTTCCATTTCTCTTCAGTTTAAAATTATTCTCTTTGTGAAGTACTTCATGTTCTGTATATAAAAGATACTCCACAGCAAGAAGATTGCTTTAAGTGCTCAAGGACTGTATTACAAATGATGCCCAACACACCAAGACTTTAAAATGCTGAATTAGGGGCTGGACAGATGGCTTAGTGGTTGAGAGCACTGACTGCTCTTGCAGAAGACCTGGGTTTGATTCCCAGCACCTACATGGCGGCTATGAACTGTCCTTAACTCCAGTTCCAGGGGAATCCGAAGCCCTCTTCTGACCTCCACGGCATTGCAGGACACGGGTGCACTCACATACATGTAGGCAATACACTCATACACATAAAAAAATAAAATATTTAAAAAATATTTTTAAAATGCTGAATTAAATAGCTAAGTGGTTATCACTTATCCCCCTCTTCTTCCTTCTCCCCTTCCTTGCCCCCCGCCCCCCATTTTGAGACAAGGTCTCACCAGGTACCACTGGAACTTGTAGACCAGGCTAGCCTCAGACCAGGCTAGCCTCAGATTTACAAGTGCTGGAACTAAAGTTGTGTGCTATCATGCCTGATCTTTTTCTGGTTGTTTCATTTTGGCCTTTATCTTTCTTTATGGAGACAAAGTTTTTTTGTCTCTTTTGTTTGCTAATGAAGTCTCAGAATCTTGTTACTATTTGAACTAATGAATGGTTGATTTTCCCCTTATTCTTTTTTTTTTTGGTAGGGGTTGAACGCAATACCTCTCACATGTTAAGCACACACCCTATCCATTAATCTATACCCTTAATCTCCCCCCTCAGTATTTTTGACTTTATTACCATTTGCATAGTTAATTTTTCACAATATTTTTCTTATAATTAAGTAGAAAATACTTATAAAAACGTATTGAAAAGAGAGACATTTTAAACTGCAAAAGATGCAGCAGTACTGTTAAGGTAAGATTTTTAAAATCTCTGAAGGGAGACTGGAGAGATGGCTCAGTGGTCAATGCATTGGCTGCTCTTGCAGAGGACTAGGGTTTGGTTCCCATCACTTACATGTGGCAAGCAACTATCTATAATTCCAGTTCCAGGGTTTTTGACATGCTCTTCTGGTCTCCAAGGGCACCAGGCATATATGTTGTATACATACATACATGCAAGGCACTCACATATACATATAAAATAAAAATAAATAAACCTTTTTAAAAGTTCCTGAAGAAAGAAACATTCATTTCAGTACAAGTTAAGAGAATCTACATTAGTGTATTAACTATCTCCTAGTATCTATGTCTGTTTCCTTCTATCTGCACTGCCTTGGTTTTAAAGTAGTCACTTTCTTTTACAACTATCAGAGCAATGGTTGATTTGGACAAAAATTTTCAACAGATATTAAAATAAATGGTGAAAGCTTATTGCAGGACAGGATATTTATACAGTCTCAGGATTTCACCCCACGAATTACATATTAATTTCTTTTTAAAAAATCCCCTGTGTCGTGCAATGCCGAGGTCAGAAGAGGGCTTCAGATTCCCCTGGAATTGGAGTTAAGGACATTTCATATCCACCATGTGGGTGCTGGGAATCAAACCTGGGTCCTCTGCAAAAGCAGTCAGTGCTCTTAACTGCTCAGCCATCTCTCCAACCCCATGGTTAAATTTTTTACGTAAAATATAGTGAAACTTTTGAAAACCATTGTCACAAATTCAGGGTTATTTTGACTGCTTATTTAGGCAAACATTTTGGATGGTGATAACAAACCTTCCTTTGACTTTTATGGATTCACTATCTTATTCTAGCTGCCTTTTTCTCTTCTCATCTTTCAAAAAGAGCCATGGCAGTTCTTGTATGTGGGCAAATAATTCAACAAATTCTGAATATGCTTTGTGCAGACTGAAATTGTCTCCACAAACAGGAGACTTCTCTATAGTAGTTCTTTTAAGGATATTTCATGTATATTTGATAGAAAGCCTGGTTTTATTTTTAGTTTAGCAGTCTTCCAATATATCTGGGAATGCAAGATCTGCCTGAGATCTTTTTCTTATTTTCCTTCAATATTCCTTTGTCTTAGATCAAAATGGAGCCCCTTGTATTGATGAAAATGGTCAAAACATTGCTTTATTCTATAAAGAACTACAGAAAAGGAGGTTCTGGTAACAAGTGATATTTGAAGTTTTGAAGCATTATACACTGTTAAAGTGATTTGAGATATATCTTGCCCATATCAAGGTTAAGTATTATTGTTGTTTTGAGACAGGCCCTCACTACATAGCCTGATCTGACTTTGAAGTCCATCCTTCTGCCTTCCAGGCACTGACATCACACCTGGCTAAGCCTGACTATTGCGAAGTGATTTTATTCTATAGTCTAACCCTTTTGATAGTAACCTCTGTAAAATGCAAAAACATAATACAAGGACTTACGTCATAGTCGCTCCTGGATCAGCAGTCATCTGGTTGGTCACAAAAACAGCAACATTATATTCTGCATCGAGAAATAAAATTAAGAAACTAAGAGAAGGGGAATAAAATAGAGAAGTTCGTTGTTTAGATTTCAGCTTAAGAGTATGCACCATGAGTTCATTTTATAAACAAGCTCATATTCTTATTTTTCAGTGACAACAGAATTATTTAAAGTTCTCATTGTTATTTACATTGGAACCAATATTGTAGTTTACAAAACTGTATTCCCATGACAATAACTTTATTAAAAAATATTACTTCTGACATCATACTGAGCTTCTCTGCAAAACACACTTTAGCAAACATAGTCGACAGATGCTGTGCAATAGTGCCATTTTATTTATTTTTTTTTTTATTTTTGGTCTTTTTGAGACAGGGTCTCCCTGTAGCCCGAGATGTCCTAGAACTCACTATGTAGACTAGGCTGGCCTTGAACTCACAGAGATCTGCCTGCCTCTGCCTCCCAAGGGCTGGGATTAAAGGCGTGCGCCACCACGCCTGGCTTGCCATTTTATTTTTAAAGATTACCTTCTGAGATTTTTTGGAGTCGTGACAACATCTGGGCCAATTTTTGTTGCCGTTCAGCCAACTCCCCACGGCCACTGAAATCCACTCGAAAAAGTGCCATTATTGAATCAATGATCTGCACAGAAGTAACATAAAAGCAAGCACGTATTTTAAAATGGAAGGAAGATATCTACTTAAATAGAATAGAAAAGATAAGCTAAATAGCTCTGTCAGTGAGCATTATTTAAAATCTTGTACCAATAGCTTGAAAATGCCAGCTTCTTCATGGAACTTCGCTGCTACATAGTCAAGTAGCTCCATCTGATGTTCACCTGATGGGAAAAGTGGTGAGAAAATTCTATAAAGGCCAGACACAGCAGAAGCTAAGCTCATGTATGTCTGTGAGAGCCAGGCAAAAAAGATTCTTGGTTTCTCTTGATTATTTATGACTTTACTAAATGGAACTGTATATTCTGCCTGAGCAAATGTGGCAAATGGTGACTTATGCAAAAAGAACTTCATTCTGGGGCCTGAAGGTGTAGTTTAGTGATACATACATGCCTAGAATGTGTGAATCCCTGGGTTCGGTCCTCAGCATCACAGGGGAAAATAGAAGAATGTTACTCTGCATTTCAAAGACAAATAACTTGAAGGTATTTTGTTTCTAAGGACTTAACATAATAAACTTTGTGGGCTCATTTGCAGAATATTTAAATAAAACAAGGAAAACAGGTGAAATGTTGTTATCTTCCCACAGTTTAGTAAATTAGTGCTGCCAACCTTCTGACAACCTAAGCATCCACCTGCAAGGGGCTCTTACTAGTATATGCTCGTGCATAAAGTACATTGTCCAGTACTGCATCATGGTCCACATTGAAGCGATCAGCAATGTCCCGAAGGCGATCTGGACGGCTGGAGTGTGCCAAGATTAAGGATTCAATAAGTCAATTCCAAAAAAAAGTTTAGACAAGTGCAAAATATAACACCATATACAAGTAAAGTAACAGACAGGCCTAATCAGTGTATCTGCAAAGCTATTCTGGAGACTAGTAGTACTCACTTAAAAGATTACCAGATTGCATTTTTCTTTTACAAAAAATATTTATTATTATTATATTATTATTATTATTTTTGGTCTTTTTAAGACAGGGTTTCCCTGTAGCCCTAGCTGGCCTGGATTCGCTATGGAGACCAGGCTGGCCTCAAACTCACAGAGATCCGCCTGCCTCTGCCTCCTGAGTACTGAGATTAAAGGTGTGCACCACCACGCCCGGCCTTATTTTTATTATATGTATGAATGTATTGCCTGCATGTATGTAAGTGCATCTGTGTAGCGCAATGCCCTCAAAGGTCAGAAGAGGATGTCGGATCCCCTGGAATTGGAATTATGGATGGTTGTTAGCCACCACCTGGGTGCTGGGAATTGAACCCAGGTCCTCTCCAAGAGCAGCCAGTGCTCTTAACCACTGAGTCATCTCTCCAGTCCTCAGACTGCACTTTTCATAAGTGCTTCAAAATACCTTAGAAATGATAGTGGTTGGAGATATCATAAAGCAGAAATTCATTTAAATATTAAGTTATCAAACCTTTAAAAGAATCTTGGAAGCTAGTTGTGAGGGCTTCATTTTATAAGACACTGACAAACGTTTAGGCAAATGACTTAGGATTATGCAGCAGAATAGTTAAAATAGAAAAAAATAGAAGCTAAGGTTTGTGAGTCTCTTTTGTTCTCAGCTCCGTAAAAATAGACCTATTCTAGAACAGTAACATCACTAAGTTATAATCCAAGTCATTTCAAAACGAAGTGACTCTTCATATTCTTCACCAGCTCAAAATGAACTAGTTTAATATAATCATTAGTCACATGTGGCAAACAAATGATAAATATGACTATATGAAGTAAAGGGTCAAAAAAGTAACCTCAAGGGTCTAGAAGGGAATGATCAAACCAGATTTTTTGGATTTTACACAGTGTCTAAAATATACCTTCTTCTAAAGGAGTTGTTAGTTTCCTGAAATTAGAAATTTCATAGGGAGGCAAATCCTCCAGAGTGCATGGGCAAGGGCACTCTGGAGGATGCTAATAATCACTAATGTGTAGTGATGACTTTGATGACTCTAATAACATGTCTCAAGTGAAATGAAGTAAAATAAAAACACCTGTCTGTGGTCTCTTTTCACTTTTGTTTGCATTGCTTATGTAACATTATAGTTTACTGTAAAGCAAGGACCATTTATAATCTTTTTTTTAAACTTCACTATTAGTGATTAAACCTAGGTCCATGCACATGATAGGCAAGAGGCAACAAAAGTGTCAGTCATGTCAGCTTCTACAAAGCTGAATACTATTTGGATGGGGTATGAGAGTTGAGCTGGTTGGGCATGGTGGTGCATGCCTTTAATCCCAGCACTTGGGAGGGAGAGGCAGGTGGATCTCTGTGAGTTCAAGACCAGCCCGGTCTACATAGTGAGTTCCAGGCTTTTTTTTTTTTTTTTTAAAAAAAAAAAAAAAAAAAAAAAAAAAAAAAGAGGTGAGCTAACACTGAAGGGAAGTTCAAATCAATGCAAAGCATTATAGAGAATATAAAGAATCATAAGAGTCTATACCCTGCTATATCCTGGGTAAGCTTAAAATATACTAAAAAGGTGGGGCATGGTGCCACACACCTTTAATCCCAGCACTGGGAGGCAGAGGCAGGCAGATCTCTGTGAGTTCAAGGCCAGCCTGTTCTACATAGTGAGTTCCAGGACAGCTGGGGCTACACGGAGACCCTGTCTCAAAAAAGACAAATATATATATATATTAAAAAGACAAAATATAAACATAAGAAAAATATCAAGAGACAGCAGTGTATATGTGAGAGACCCTGAAAGAATGAGAACATCCACTGTGGTTGGTTTGTGTCATAGGATTTTCTTCCTGTCTCTCCTGCATATGACTTAGCTCCTAACTAGTCCTGTCTTTCTGTCTTGATAAGATCCAGATTGTCCAACCAGTGGCTGCTAATCTTTGAGAACAATTCCTCCCTCTTCAAGGATCATCCTCAATCAATTATTTTTGAAACTAGTTGAATTCCAGTTGAGCCTCTCCTGCTATAGCCCTAACCAACAGTCTATCTTTCCCAAATTAGAAGGCTCCTTCAGAGTCTAGTCTATTTCTCAGAATTCCTCAAATCATTCTTTGGTTATTTTTCTTCTACACAAGAGTATTTTAGATGGCCAATTCTACAACAGATCAAGAAAGACAAGGTTCTATAAATTGGGTAATTATAAGAAATTAGAAAAAGCAGGCCTTGGTATGAGACTTAATGATTTGTATGACTCAGGAAACCATGATGTGGGGATAGAAGGAGCAAATCCCCCATAGGACAGAAACACAACATGTGGACTTCTCAATGAAGGGCCAAGCTGACAGTCAAGTGTGAGAGCAAAGTTAAATGCATTTTCAGATATGCTAGGTCTCAGCAGTAACCACCTTGATCACTTTTCTGAATGAAATACTTGAGGTATTCCAGCAAAACAAAAACAAGATAAATGACGTGGGGATGAAGTCTTTTTGCTGTTATTTTGAGGCAGGGTCTTACTATGTAGCCCCAGCCGGCCTGGAACTCACTATGTAGAACATCCATCCAATACTGGCCTTAATCTCACAGCAATCTGCCTGTCTCTGTGCCCACCCCCCTCCCCCTGCTGGTGCTGGGATTAAAGGCATGGGCTACCATGCCAGGCTAAGGGATGAAGGAATCTTAATGAATCCAGAATATAAAAATCTTTAGCATTTCAGTAATTGTTAATGTACAGTGTTTTCAAATTTTTAACAAAGCATGCTTAGAGGCAATGGGATTTGATTGAAACGTCTCATCACTTTGCCTCTAATAGTGACAGTGGTGAGAAATAAGCCTGGGGAATCAGGGTGGGCTTTTCTGTGAATAGCCTTACAGACCTGCACAGGTCTTAAGTCATCTGAACCTGATGCCTCCTCAAATGACCATGTTTCTGGCCAATTACACATTGCCTCATTCCCTAGCTATTTACTTGCAAGATGCTTCCATCACCTCAGACCCTACTGCAAATGTTCCCTGGAACTCTTAATTTCCAATTTTAGTGTGCTTTCTCTTTGACATCCTCAAAAATTCTGTGAAACATTACTGATTACTGATTACTCTCCTTCTTCAAACTCTGCCTTGGCTTGGCTTCCACAACCAGTCTTCTGCCTATTTCCTCTGTGTCTGTAGGTTCTTTACTTTAGTCCTCTTCATAAATACAAACACACTCAGAGTTAATTCTCGGTTCTCCCTCTAACCTCCTGTCAGTTTTCTTGTTCTTTGGTTAATTCATGTCTCGTACTCCACTCTTTCTCAATATCTCCCACTGTCATCTGTTTTTCATCTTGCAAACCACATATTCAATACTGAAGAGAAACACCCCTTTTCTCTGAAACATGATCGTCCCAGTTCTGTCATTAGCACCATGCTCTTGGTGCTGAGACAAAAAAAAAAAAAAAAAAAACCCCGAGTGGTTGGTTTCTCAAGCATCACTTTGCCTACAAGTAGTCATTAAATCCCATCAGTTTCCCTTTCTCTTTTATTCCTACTGCTTCCAACCTGGATCAAGTTCTCATTATTTGCTTAGATTTTTTTCAAAAATATCTAATTGGCATTTACCATGTGATCTCAGAGCCGAGCCCTTCGTGCCTAAGACCCAAATCACCCTTCTAGTTTGTATTCTGGAATACTTTCAGTTCAGTTAAATGCCTTTTTCTCTGTGACCCTTTTCCTTCTGTATACTTGAATTCTTCAAGCCTTTCCTATTACTTAAGGCCACAGGTTAGAGCAAACTGGGAATCTGTTTATATAGGCAAAATCCTTGGATATATATATAGTTTTTCCTCTCCTGTATTTTGTCATTTTTATATCAAACCCATATAAAGAAGTAAATGAAACCTTGATGTGAGAACCTGGCAGCACTGCTTCCCCTGGCTTCTCATTATTCTGGTTTATAGGCTCACTACAAAAATCCTATGTTTAAACACTCTCTTTTGTAGTAACAGCACTATACCACACTATGTTAGGACTTGTTTAAATAAAAGGTTTACAAAGTATTTTCTGTATCAATGAAGATAATCTTTCCTCCTGAGTAGCCACCTGCTCCTGGAAGTTGAGCTGTCACTAGGGAGTAATTAAAAAGATTAGTATTAACAGGAGTGAATAAACTTTGTACAAATGAATCTATAAATAAACACTGAATTTATGCTGGTTGCAACTGTTCAGTAAACTTTTCCAAAGAACAATGATCCCTTAGTTTCTATATAGCATTGCTATGCTGTCATCTGATAATCAGGGATGAAAGAAGAATTCTTCCAGGATAATAGTAATTCAACCAAGAACTTCAGTATCTCTCACCATGGGAGATATTCAGAAGTTAGTTCTCTCATATAACTGGAATTAGAATTTAACTCTTACAAATTTCATTTTTATAACAATTACAAATGTAATTTACGTTAAATAACTTAATCTACTTTTCAATTTATGTCCATTTTACATGCATTTACTTTGTGTGTGTTATATGAATGTGTACAAGTTCCTGTGTATATGCACATGTGTGTTTATCTATTTTGAAATAGGGTCTTTCACTGAACCTGGAACCCACCAAGTACTAGGCATCTTCCTAGCTTTGCCTTCCCAGCACTGCGCTAACAGGCATGTGTGCTGCACTCAGCTTTTTACATGAATGCTAGGAATCCAAACTCAGGTCCTCATGCTTATGTGGCAAGCACTTTTACCCACTGAGCCATCTCCCCAGCTCAGGCATTTACTTCTTTCTTTTTCTTTCTCTTTTTTTGCTTTGAGGCAGGGTCTCATGTATCCCAGGTTGCCCTCCAACTCACTATATAGCTGAGGATGACTTTGAACTCCTGATCCTCCTGCTCCATGGCTAGGATTATAGGCATGAGCCACCATGCCCAGCTTATGCAGTGTTAGGGACTGAACCCAGGGCTTCATGCATGCTAGGTATTCTACTAACTAAGCTACATCTGCAGCCCATAATGTTTATATGGTAGTAGTTAAAATAAGGAGTTAATTTGTATCAGGCACACAAATTATTTCATTTACTTTTCAAAAATATCCGAAGATTTAGCACTATCATTATTTCAATTTTACTACAGGAAAATTAAAGGTATAAAGCAATTTGCTCAGGGTCATAGAGCCAAGACTGGAGTCAGACACTTTGACTATAGAAACTGCCCTCCTTTTTTAAAAAAATATTTTATTTATTATTTTTATGTGTATGAGTGTTATGTCTGCATGTAGGTAAGTGCACCCGTGTTGTGCTATGCCCTTGGAAGACAGAAGAGGCTATCGGATCCTCTGGAACTGGAGTTATGGACAGTTGTTAGCTGCCATGTGGGTGCTGGGATTCGAATCCAGATCTTCTGCAAGAACAGCCAGTGTTCTTAACCACTGAGCCATCTCTCCAGGCCCCCTTCTCCCCGCTTTAAAAAATTATTTGCATGTGTGCATGTGGTGTGCACGCTTGTGTGTATGTATAGTCACATGCATATGGGTGCATGTGAGAACCCTTTTTAACCATGACTTAAGTAAAAGAAATGCAAAGTAGTATCTTTCTGAAAAAAAGGAATTTTTTTTTGCTTATTTTGTTTCAGGAAACATTATTCACTATTTTAAAACATTTTTTACATTTATTTATTTTGTTGGGGAAGGTACAAGCATACAACAGCATGTGTGGAGGACGTCAGAGGATGATTTGCAGGAGTCAGTTCTCTCCTTCCACCATGTGGGTGCTAGAAATTGAATTCAGCTTGTCAAGCATGGCAGCAAGTACCTTTATACGCTGAGCATCTCATTAGTCCCCAAAATTTATTTTTATGTCTCTCTCAGGACAGAATACATTATATAAACAGTGAAGTAATCTGGGCTTTAATGTGTTGTTATGTACCATAAACAAGATATAAGAAAGATCAGTTGTGAAAATTTTAACTCTCCCACCAATATGCTCCTTCTTCATACTTCTATTTAGATGTTCACAGTGTAGCACATACAACAGTATCTCAAACATCATGCAGTCAAAACCATCTGTGCAACTATAGGCAGTTTACTTAACCTCTCTGAGCTTTAGTTTCCTTAAGAGTACCTAAGATTATGCAAAGTGCTGGGCACACAGATGCAAGTGAAAGCTATGATTGTTATTATTATGCTGTGTCAGTGTGTGTCCTTACCACAAAGGGTATGAGACAGCTGAGTTTTTCCAGTACGAAATTCTGTGAAATTCAGAAAAAATGTTAAGAAAAGTGCAGTTACCATTGAAATATTTTCATTGAACAAACAAACAAAGCTACATAGGTTGGGAATCTTGCTCAGAGGTAGAACATTTGCATAACATGCCCAAAGTCCGGCATTCAATTCCCAGTGCCTCCCACCAAAAGGCCTCATTTTCCAACTGTCAAATCTTACCCTAAAGAATCTCATATCACAAAAGGATTCTGCACATATGAACACCAATAATGAAAAAAAAAACACCCAACTTTCAAGTATTTTCCCCTGAGAACTGTTGTGTAGATGAAATTTAATTTGAAGAAAGTTTTCCATAGGAATAGCACATAAATCAAAGTTTAGGACCATAACCACAGCAAGGACAACCTGGGGTTCCCTCCCTGGGCTGAACTCAAGGGGAAGCTGAAGTTATCTCAAATTGGTGACATCCTCTAGTTACCAGTATAAGCAAATGCTCTCCTTTGGATAACTTTCCTTTCCACCAAGTAGGTTCACTGAACTCTCAATGAGTAAACAAAATAACAAGTTCACAAATAAATATACAAGAAGATAAGTTGTTAAGATTGAGTCAACAGAAACAATGAAAACTAGAGTTAGTTCAAGTCAATGGACACAATTACAACAAAACATATAGTTCTCTATGGATTGCAAATACTGAACTGACATCAGGTATAGTATTAATATAACTATACACAAATCTATTTTTATTTTTATTTTGTGTGTATGAGTGTATTGCCTGCATGTGTGTAAATGCACCCATGTCGTAAAATGCTCCTGGAGGTCAGAAGAGGGCATCAGATCCCTGGACCTGGAGTTATAGACAGTTGTTAGCTGCCATGTGAGTCCTGGAAATTGAACCCAGGTCTCTGCAAGAGCAGCCAGTTCTCTTAACCACAGAGCCATCTCTCCAGCCCCATGAATTATTTTTAAAAATATAAGATACAGGGGCTAGAGAGATGGCTCAGCAATTAAGAGCACTTGCTGCTTTTTAAAAAAATATTTTATTTTAATTTATTATTATTTATTTATTTATTTGTTTGTTTATTTGTTTATTTATTTAATTTGGGTCTTTTTGAGACAGGGTCTCCCTGTAGCTCCAGCTGTCCTGGAACTCACTATGTAGACCAGGTTGGCCTTGAACTCACAGAGATCTGCCTGCCTCTGCCTCCCAAGTGCTGGGATTAAAGGCATGCACTACCATGCCCGGCCCAATATTTTATTTTTTATTTTATGTATATGAGTGCACGTATGTGAGTGCACCCATGTCGTGCAGTGCTGCGGAGGTCAGAAGAGGGCTTTGGATTCCCCTGGAACTGGAATTAAGGATGGTTCATAGCCGTCATGTGGGTGCTGGGAATTGAACCTGGGTCCTCTGCAAGAGCAGTCAGTGCTCTTAATTGCTGAGCCATCTCTCCAACCCTGAGCACTTGCTGCTTTTACAGAGGACCAGGGTTTGGTTCCTATTATCTTCATGGCAGCTGACAACCATCTGTAACTCTAGTTCCAGGGGATTCAATGCCCTCTTCAGGCCTCTGTGGACACATACACACATACGGCATATATATACATACATACACATAAATAAAAATCAAAATCTTAAATATATATGATACAATTGGGAAAGAAGAAATTTAATCTGTATATTCATGGAATATGAATTGTATAAACAAAAGATCAACCTTATTATTCACTTAACCTTTGAAGGAGTAAGAGAAAAAATTCAGTTTCCTTCTATAGTAATCAGAGATAAGAAAAATATCAGTAAAATATGCTAACATTAGTATATATTTTCATTGTAGCTCTGAATGACCTTGTATTATAATTAATACTTCATCATAAGTTCCAAAGTAGGAACTTATTTGGTTATTAGTTAATTATATGCTTATACATATATACAAATATATAATTTCATATAAAATTACTAAATTTCTACCTACCTCCAAAAGCTTCTGTGATTGCCATACTTTCAATGCCCCCTCCTAGTAATTTACTGCAAATAAATATAAAGTATTAGTGACAGGGTGTAAACAGAGCTATCATGAATGGAGATAGAATTTGTATCATTAGTAACCTATCATCTCTAAATACACAACAAGAATAGGAATTTACGGTTGAGAGAAATGACACTAACTGTTCAGATCATAGGTTCTACTGTGTATGGACAGGCAGCTCAACAAAGCAATTCATAAGCCCTGTTCTTACTTCTGAGTATCAATAAAAAATGGGTCAGTAAGGCTTTATGTCCATTATTCTTTTAAATTGGAATCAAAATACATTGTCTTAGATTTTATTTTTTGGTGTGGTTGAACCAGGGCCTTGTGCATGCATGAACTACATCTCCATGCAATGGTCTTGAGTTTTTCAAATTGTGCAGAGATAATGTTTTTAAAAGTCAACTGAATATTCAATCTTTAATGTACTCAGAAACATATGAAAACAAGTATTAAGGAGAACCCAGTGATTGTCACTATGGTGGATTTGTCTCACATAAATGAAATTTTAGGGAGAACATATGAGAAAAGAAAATGTCCAAAGATAGTATAGGTAATGCTGGCAGTCAGAAGAATAACTGCTAGGGTTAACAGCATTTATTTAATTGATACATCAATGATTTAAAGTAGCTCATGTTCTTGATAGGAAAAAATGAAATTTACATGACCATGTCATTCATTCATTAAATGATTAAATGTAGTAAGTATGTGTTACTGTGTAAACCTGGCAGAAGCACTTTAAAAACCTATGTGATTTCTACTAGCATGTCATCAGTGATGTGATCACAAATCAGACAATCTAAGGGAATAGATTTATATTCATCTAAGAGAGCAATTTAAATGTAAATTGAAGCAATTTTGGAAGTCATCCACAAACTTAATGAGGGCTTTGCTGCTTTCAATTATTAAGAAAAGTGTAGACACTGGTATACATAGCATGCATAATTTGAAGCTAAAGGCTATAGACCACGAAATCACCCCATGTGGAGGGGAAGCCCTGGTAGAGCTGGTAAGTCAGGAAACAAAGATTTGCTTGCCACTATTCATCTTGAGAAAAGTTACCCTGAAAATCTATAGCTTATCAGACAAAACTTCTGGTTGATATGGCACTGATGAGAAGCTAAAAAAGTACCCTTAGAACTTGCCCACGAGGGCATCTCAAATTATTTGGGATAATAAAATTATTTCCTTTGTGAAACTCAGAAACATTTAGAATTAGGGGTAGAAATGGTGCTTTAAATATAGGAAGATTTAAACAGAGATATGAATCAAACTCACAGATTACTATTTACAGATTACCAGTTGGTATTTGAGAACTTCTAAGTTGGAAAAGTATTGACTTTTAAAAATCAAAAACAGGCAGCACTCAGGAGGCAGAGGCAGAGGCAGGCAGATCTCTGTGAGTTCAAGGCCAGCCTGGTCTACACAGTGAGTTCCAGGACAGCTGGGGCCACAGGAAGACCCTGTCTCAAAAAGACCAAAAAAAAAAAAAACAAAAAACAAAAAACAAAAAAAACCCAGAATAGTTTCTGACTAAATAATATAGATATGCAATTTTTAAGTTGACAACTAAGTTTAAAAATAGTACCTGACTATTTATGAGCACCCAAGTTTTACTATACTTCTAAGATTATTAAACTTACAAAAGATCTAAATTTGGGGGAAATTTTATTTTCTCAGGGTACTGAGGATTGAATTCAGAGCCTTGTGACTGCTAGGTAAGGACTCTATCATGGAGCTATATCTCTAGTCCTTGGGAAGTGTGCTTGTTAATATTTAGACAAATAGCCATGTGTGGACATGCAGTCTGTAATCACAGCAATTGGGAAGCTGAGGCAGGAGGATGACAAGTTCAAGACAGCCTGAGCAATACAGTAAGACTGTAGACTCAAAAAAAAAAATTTAAGGGCTGGAGAGATGGCTCAGCAGTTAAGAGGACTGGCTGTTCTTGCAGAAGACCTGGTTCAAATCCCATACCCACATGGTGGCTAACAACCGTCTGTAACTCTAGTTCCAGGGAATCAGATACCCTCTTCTGACCTCCATGGGCACTGCATGACACGGGTGCACTTACACACATGCAGGCAATACACCCATACATATAAAATAAAAATAAATAAATAGGGGCTGGAGAGATGGCTCAGTCAGTTAAGGGCACTGACTGCTCTTGCAGAGGACCCGGGTTCGATTCCCAGCACCCACATGGTAGCTATGAACCGTCCTTAACTTCCATTCCAGGGGAATCCAAAGCCCTCTTCTGACCTCTGTGGCACTGCATGACATGGGTGCACTCACATACATGCAGGCAACATGCTCATACACATAAAATAAAAATAAAAAAATATATATATGTAAATATAAAAATCGCATCTATGAGATAGTTGAAAAATTTAGCTATCTAGGGAAGATAATTGATATTTAGAAATTACTAATGTTAGGTATAATATTCATTATGTAATTCTGTTAAAAATGAATGTCCTAGGCTGTGCATGTAGTCTGTGGGCTGTGCATTTGGATGTCTAATAGGTACTTAGCCTTCACAGGTCTTCAGATTTTGGCCTGGAACCTGATCCTCTTGTGGGGCTCCTATCTGTAATCTATCTTTTTCGTGATCATCAAATCTAAAACCTAGGTGTTGCCCTTGGACTTTTTCTCTGTTACACTCTAACTCTACTTAATTAGAAAACCCTGCTAGGCATGCTGGTGTATGCCTTTAATCCCAGCACTCAGGAGGCAGAGGTAGGTAGATCCCTGTGAGATTGAGGTGATCCTGGCCTACATAGTGAGTTCCAGGCCAGCTGGGGCTACAGGGAGACTCTGTTAAAAAA